GATGTTATAAAGGACCCTAAGAATTTCCAGTGTTTGGGTTCCCTTGGTAGCCCTATGCACCTCATAATCCCTATAGTCCCAATAAACCTGCACGCCAACTTGGGGGCTCCAGGTATGTAACCCCTAGAACCCCGCAGTATCTTGAGCATTCCGTTTGTTCAGTGATGCATGTGCCCTGACCAAAACGCAGTGGTCTAACTTGACCTCAATTCAAGCGGTGCTTGGGATGGGTTTAGGCTTTAGGGTTTAGGGTTCCGGAAGAGATGGAGGTATTTTAGCTTATAGTCTATAGGGTTTAGGGTTTAGGGTTTTTAGCTTATAGTGAATGGTTACGACGTGAAGATTAATGTGGAAGCCTAAGCAATGACCAATACTATGGTCCTAGACTCCTGAAGAGACATGGTATCGGGCACCTAAAAGCAACTCAAAACTATTGTGGTACTTCCCAGACCCCCCAAAAGGATGTAGAACTTAGATCCCCTAGATCCATAGGGGAAATTATATGAGGATTGTATAGGGGTTATAATGGGTTTACATAGGCGATCTAATTTTTAGATTTTTGTAGGGGTCTGGGTTATGTAATTAGGCCCTAAAGTAGGTGACTGCAGGTCTCCCTTGAGCTTCGGACCCATTGTTCAGGCATCTTCCTCGGGACGTATGGGCGTTTTTCAAAATAATCCTTGTAGAAGCCCTAAGAAGAGCGCCACCCCAGGGGCCGGCAGGGCCCCCTAGTTTGCAAAACTCCGCTTAAGCAATGGCTCTGGATCTTGCAGCAACCCTAAACCCTAAACCCTAAACCCTAAGCCCTAAACCCTAAACCCTAAACCCTAAAACATGATTTCGGATAGGGCCCCCTAGAAGAGAGTGATGCAAGATGTTTTTATGTAAGATGCTTTAAGGTTTTCGGTAGGTGCCCAAAACCTGGGCTGTAGGGACAGCGGAGAAGCAAATGGACAAGAACATGGAAAATGGCATGGCATCTGGGTTGATCTGGTGTTTTTTGGGGATTGTAGTGTGCTGGCTTAAAACGTGGAGCACGCCAATGCGGCCCGCCGGTAAAGCTGGATGGTTTGTTTGGTGCTGTGTCATGTCATTGCTAGACCGGCATCGGAACTCTGAATACCCAGAGCCCCCCAAGGACCAACACTGGAACCCTGAATGAAGGAATAGAAGAGAAAATGGAAACTACAGAGATGATAGGGGGTCATATAGGGACTTTTAGGACATATATAGGGGTTATATAGGGCATAATGGAAACCAAAATGGAAACTACTATAGGGGATCTTTGAGGGAGCTGGGGGAGGTCTTATCTGCCAGAGCTACCTTGAACCTACACGAGTATTGGAATTTAGGGTATATTGGGGTTATATAGGGCAGAATGGAAAATAGATCGAAACTACTAAAGTATATTGGGGTTATGTAGGGAATGGTATAGAGTATTGTGTGTTGCGAATATGTACACCCATATGTTGCGCGCAAGTGTAAACCAGAGAGTGCTCTCACGAAGAGGCAACACTCCCAACTGCTTCGTACGATGGCTTGCCTTACCTATACTAAACGCTAAGCAGCCCTAAACCCTAAACCCCTTACTGTAGGGGCTAAGGACCTGAACCCTAGACCTTAAACCTTAATTCCAGAACCTGAAACCTTAACCCTAAACCCTAAACCCCAACACCCGGAACCTTAATTCCAGAACCTGAAGCCTTAAGAACTGTACCCTCAGCGGTGCTGCTCTTCAGGCAAGGCCTCGCGGTGGGAAACCCAGCTCTCTCTGCGGAGGCCACAGTATCCTATGAAGACTTATAATTAGTTCCCATTAAGTGAACGGAATATGGAATATGGATGGTTAAGGGGAATGCCTAATTCTATCTACTTAGGGAGGACTCTAGGTTTAGGGGTATAGTCCCCCGTCAGTAGATAGAATATGGGGTACATGGGGATCTTATGATTACATACCCAAAGCCATCTTTTATCTACTTAAGGGGGACTCTAGGTTTAGGGGTTTCGGGTTTGGTTGACAGGCTCAGGGCTTCTCAAGCCCTCGCTACACCATGCTGATAAGGGACTCCTTTCATGCCCTTGTGCCTTGAGAGCAGCTTTCTTGAGAAGTCTAAATAATAGCAATAATACGGTAATACTGTAATAATTAACAGTAAACGAAGGAAAAAATCTCGCTTGAGTTTCCAGTCATAGTGGTAAGGCCGATAATTTGACAGTCTTTTGTGGCCCTTTCGGGCGACCGCTCATCTTTCAGAAGCTCCCAGGCATTGTCAATCATCGCAGCATTGTGGTGGCAGTGCTAGTGACGCTGGTGCTTCTGGTCCTTCTGTTGCCGTCAGTCATTATGACTGTCATCATCATTGGGATAATATAGGGACAACGGAAAAGAAAATGGGAGTTACTATAGTATATTTGGGTTATGTTTGGCTTCGGGTATGTTATCATGAGCATTCTCCTCCTCTCATGAGAATCATTGTCATCGTGGCGTCTACCTTTCCATTGATGGACCTGGCCAATTGAGGCTCGAGCACATAGAACAGCAGGCCTTTCATCAGATAAATCCTTTTTTGTCGCCCGAACACGTTATGCGCGTAGTTTGGTGCTTGCTTCTCTGCGTCACCGTGGACGGGAAGGGCGTGTCTTTTCAAGTAAAAGCAGTGAATCTGGATTAATATTCAAGATGCTTTATCCTATTTTGCGGTGGGGGCGTGAGATTTAGGGATCCTCGATGGATTGAGGATGTTTAGGACCCCATTCACCCATTGGGGTAATATTGGGGTTATATGGGGATAATGGAAAATGAACATGGAAACTACTATTTAGGGCTTAGGGTTTAGGATTCATTTTGAGCCAAACCCTAAACCCCAAACCCCGTTCTTTCCCTGAAGACTGAGGAATGAGGAGCATGAGCTGACGGTTGCCTCTATCAAGTCAGGCTGCATCCTCCACACAACAGGAGTCGAGTATACCTGCCGGCCACCGAATCTGGGCGAGTTTTATGGTTTGGAGACGCAACCTTGTTTACGTGAGATAGCTAAGAACGTAAAAGCTGCAAGCCCTAAACCCTAAGTTCTAAACCCTAAACCCTAAACCCCAAAGCCTTATCCATCAGCCTAGTCAGCATGAAATGCAGGGGGGCTGTGGGACGATTTTGGCGTCCATTCCACCTTGCCCTACTAATCTCCAGTTTTTGTTGGGATGGCATTCGCCAGTCTGAAGTAAAAGGACATCCAAGACCTAGACTTGTTCTGCACCCTCAAGTGCAAACTAGGCATGAAGAGGATGTGGGCAGTCCTCCGCATGTGTTCAAGTTTGCAATTGACTGCCTGAACAGACCCAGCTTCATCTTCGAGAAGCTCGAGACACTAAGATCCGCAAATCGTACTGCTTTCCTCTCTTCATGTATATATACATATATATATAAATGTAATGTCAAAGGAAGTATTCAATATTCAGGGGTGGGGTGTACAACATTGGGGGAAGGGATTAGCACAGGTTTTGACCACAATTACCTCTGCTGTAGCTTTCTCGCGGTTGCTCGGCATCCGAGGCTTGGACTTACAGTCAGCGGTGGCGAAACGCTGTGTGGCAGTTTGCGATACTCAAAGTACGGCAAGTCTTATGAGCGCACAACCCCGGGGCTCACCCCGGTCTATGTTCAAAAAGGAGCCCCTGCCCGGGGGAACCAGCTACTCCCTCATGGTGCTCAACAGGGAATGGGGGATGGATCAATTACAGTCCTTTGGAATTATATAACGCTGGACCTCCCCTGATGAAGAGGCCTCCATAATGTGTTTCGGCGAACGCTTAAAAGAGTTCCAGTCCAATGATGCAAGGCCTTCTTTAATATTGTAGTGGGAGGCTTGAAGAAGGACCGAATTTCCATTTGCTGCCCCCTGTCGTTGGGAGGGCGGGCCCTTAGACTAAAGAGGGGATTGCTATGAAAATCCAATCCCTCATTTCTTTACGCGCACCAGGGAGTTTTAAGGCAGTTTGTTCCTGGTTCAGCTTGGCAGCAGCTTAGCACAGTTTTTGAAAGGCTTCCGACAGCAATTCAGGAGACTTTGTGAACTTTACCTGCATCCTTCTTCCCCTGCACGTGGCGGCCACGACCCATAGCGAGAACAACTATTCAGGTGCGATGTTTGGCAGCTTCGAACGGGGTGGGATTATAGGGGGGAGGTGTAAGCATGAACCACATCCATGTGCGATTTGGTCAAAGACAATCTCTAGACCTCTCGATGAAGAAGGGCCCTTATAGTCACAGTTTCTTTCCTTTCGAAGAGTTCTCGTTTGTTTTGTTGTTTCTCCTATAGGCCCTAGACCTAGGCTACGCCTAAACTCTAAACCTTAAACCCTAAACTAAACTGCGTGGACGCACGCATATCCAGGTTTAGGTTTAGGCAAAGGGTTGGGTGATGCAGCACTCAATTTCCAGGAACTTTCAGGAGTGTGAAGCCTATGGGTTTAGGGTTTAGGGGCCTTGACAGAAGTTACTGGATGTTGATGGACTACATCCTCCATAGCCCCACACCCTAAACCCTAGCCATTCTGCTGGAACTTTTAGGCTTCTCGTATACAGCATCATGCCAGCTGTTGAACAGCAACGTCCAAAAACTTCACCCACGTTCAAGAAGCATGGTGATCATACCTCCCCAAGGGCTCCTTGTCTTTCTTGTCAAGATCTTGACACAACACACCAGGCAGATCTCGCAATTGCAAAACACCACGTGCACAGTTTTGACCACAGGCGGGCAAAACATTGCTAGCCTATCTAAGCTCCGAATCCTCAATCCTGAAACTTCAGAACCAGGGTGGCAGCCTGTTGGGCGGGACATGTATCGCCCTATATAGTCCCATATGGCCCCATTTAACCCTTTTTCCCCTATGCAGCCCCATGCAACCCTATATAACCCCATAAAACCCTATTTAACCCTGTATACCCTATGTAACTCCATGTACCCTAAACCCTAAACCCCAAACCCCCAAACCCTAAACCCCTAAACCCCTAAACCCTAAACCCTAAACCCCTAAAACCCCTGGATCGAGGTGAGGTCCCCCTGGCTTTGAAGATCAATCCGACGGGTGCCAAAGAGGAAGTTGAGCAGCTCAGGTTTGGGAGCTTGACGCATCGCTGAACTCGTTCATACGGTTTTAGTGTTTAGGGTTTATAGGTTTTAGGGCTTAGGGCCTAGGGTTTTGGGTTTATAGGGTTTAGGGTTTAGAGTGCAACAAGGGGACCCAGGACGACTTGTCCCACATAAGAAGGATCCCGGCTTATTTCAGGATGCATGAGGGGTTCCTTTTGTAGCAGTTCCCGGTTGCCAGAAAACTTTTGCATTACCTGGGCCTAAGCTCTAATCCCTAAACCCCAAACGTTGGGGTTAACAAAACCCGTAAACCCTAACAAGAACTGACGCCACGCAGGGTGCTCTAGGATTCTGTCGAGCAACCACATATCTGGGCGTTGCCCAAAATTGGGGGTATTACCCCAATAATGGAGAATCAAATGGAAAAGATGGATAACAAAATGGAAACTGGGATTATATAGGGGCTCATGTATATATATATATATAAACATAGGGTTCAGGGTTTCCCAAAATTAGATACTTGTCTGGGGGTCCCTATAATAAGGATAATCGTATTTTGGGGTCTGTATTGGGGGTAAAAGGGATATAGGGGTTATATGGGGGTATAAAGGGTTTAGGGTTTCCCAAACTTAGGGGTACCTGTTTGGGGTCCTTATAAGAAGGATACTGGTATTTGGGGGTTATTTTGGGGGTAAAGGGAATATAGGGGTTATATGGAGTACATACGGTTTAGGGCTTCCCAGGAATTTGGTGTACCTTTTTGGGGGTCCTTATAAGAAGGAGTAGAGTATTTAGGGGTATATATGGAGGTCCCCCTATTGAGGGAAGCTACCATTTCACATCTTTTCAATACTTCAATCCGATACGCGCCCCTCTCTAGACTCTAGAGAAGGTCCTCACCAACGCGCCGTAGCAGCTCTTCCACAATATGAGCATCTGCGAAGGCCAATGTGGCACTTCTCAAAGAGGTCCTCCCCAAACGGTGTACAGAATAACATGTCCCCGAGGCTGCGACTATGAGTCGTTATGAAGCACAAGTCACAAGTCCATATGAGTGAGCCAAAGTCTAAACTGCTAGCATCCCCCTTAATAACCCCTTATAGTAGTCCCTCATATAATCCCCTATAAAGCCCCACTTTAAGGAGTGTAGACTATGGTTCATATCTTGAGGTTTACCTTCCAGCCTCTTCCCTGCCCCCCAAGCTGCTGTCCATGACCAAGGACCTTGGGCATGGAGTCCGAAGATGAACCGCCTTGGCGCGCATGCAAGAAGGCCGTGGAGGACGCGTGCTCACTATAGTGCACGCGCGAACACTGCATGTCACGCCGTTTTAAAGTTGAGGCTATGGGTTGAGGGCTAGGGCTTATGGAGTTTAGAGTTGAGGAGGAACTTCTTGCCAGCGATCCCAATGAACAACTAAATCTGCGATCTGCAGGATGCTTACGCATGGACTTTGGAGAGGGTCGAGACCAAAGGACCGGCGAATGCCGAAATGCAGGCAAAAAAGGGAGTTGGGTAGCCCTAGCCATAGTTTTACCCCTAAACCCTAAACCAGTTTATGGTCACACATCATATGGTTAGGTCTGAAAAGTAGCCCCTTCAGAGTCCTTAAACGAAGCTCCTATAAGCCTCCTGTGATCCAATACATCCCTACGGTCCTACACTCCCAATTTTTTCAAATTGAGAAGCCTTCACATTTTAAACATCCCTGTTTGGCTTGGGTTTTTCGAAAGCAAAACCCTTCTTGAAGATGCTCCGAGAAGCAATCGCGAATGATAATTGTGATTCCCTTCCCTTCAGCCAGACCCCAAGCTCGTCAAATGACGATTCCTTCCTGTACTGTCTCACTTTCTGGTTGCGGTTAAGGATCTTATTTTAAGTTATAATAATGGGTATACATAGTAAATAATAGGTTTCCCCAATATACATAGTTATCACTTAACTCCGGAAGAGTAGTTACTGTGCGGTGACGGGCGGGTTCCTCTCTCTGGGGGGTTTTCATAGCCTGAGACCCTAAACCCTAAACCTTAAACCCTTAAAGCGGAGGAAATGAGCACGTGTTGGAATGGAGCAGCCCGCCATTCTTGGATCAAAGTCGCATCACTGACGACTTTGACCAAATGACGTGTCTGGGTGGAATTCCGGTAGATTTGCAGGGGCCCGGCAGACGGGACAGACTGTGACAGACCCTCCAGACACCTTGGGTTACCCTAGCTAAGTACACACACCGCTTTCAAGGCTTCTTCTTAGGGGTCTGGTTTAGATATTTTTTGGAGATTTGCCATCGGAATCGACCTAACCCTAAATGCAGGAGCATCCCTTCCCTGATGGCGAGACGCCCTCGAGGCTTTATTAAAACAGCATTTTAAGCCAGCACCCTTCTCTGGACATAAGCTATAGTAGAGCCCCTGGCAAGCAGTGAAGGAAATGATTGTCCCGATGCGACTAAGAAGCCCAGTGGTACCCCTTTACCTGCTTATTGGGGTGCCAAGCCTATGCCAACAACCTTTCACACATGGAGTGTGTTTGCCTATGTCATCCGTGACAGCTACCAACCAGATGAATTGGGTGGTCTGTCATACCAAGTCTCGAATTCTGTGCCCAAAGATCTAAACCGCACTCCCCAAACCCACCCAGACCACCAAATAGTTCTAGAAATTAGATCCCCTAGAACCATATTATGGTTCTTATGGGAGCTTTAAATACTCCAAGGGGTCTGGGTAGTCGCAACGTCCTACCCCTAATTTCCAGACCAGAATCCAAAAGCCTGACCCTAATCCTAAACTCTAAAAGGTTAGGGCTTAGGATGTAGGGTAAATACCCAGCCCTGAAATCCAATCCCTGAAGACCCCAGGTCTGAGATTGTGAAGGGGGACTTTCGCGAAGTCAAGAGAGAAATTCCTATGTTGTCCACATACCTCCTGAAATTCTCTCCTGAGATTTCTGCGGCATCTGCAGACACAGTGCAGGACATTGGGGCATGGGGGCTGAAGAAAGGCCGCAGTGGCTCGGTCTACCCGAGCAGGGAGTTGGATGATTATGGATTAAGATGGGAGCTCATGTCTTCCTCAGTCATTGCTTGAGGGGTTGTTGCCATCTTTCCTGTTGCACGAAGATGGATTTTGCGTAGTCCTGTATGATATTAAATCAACACTTCAAGATTTGCGAATTTTACGGCGGTTCAAATGGCGTTTTCCCAGCCGTTGCCTGGTCGTGCCCTGTCAGGACACCGATCTATCGCACCTGGTGCTCTTGGAAGGGAAGTGGCTGTATGACAAATCCACTCTTCCCAACATCTATAAGGACGGTGATGGTTTCCTTGATGGATGTGATGGAGAGCAGTGCTGACAGCAGTGGTAGTATGCTAGGTCGTGGTTATGATGAGAGCCATTAACGCTACTTCCGTTCTGTTATCGATCACACTTCTTGCTACTGCCATTATTCCCTTGGTCCGGCCGTGTCGTTTTGCTCTTCCGTCTAGCGCTCCACAGGAAAACAACTACGTCCAGATGACCGTAAACGCATCGGCACTTCCCAAGGGGACAAAGAACATGGACGTGACGGTCAAGTACCTGATCGAGACAGGGAAGGGCCCTTTTTTCCACACCGTGCAGTTGCCTGTTGTGGATGCAGGCCCACAAAATTCATGTTTAAGCGGTCAACCAAAGCAGGTTCGGGTTTGCAGATTTGCCTTGCACCCAGGGTTGTCAAGTCTTGTAGCCTGTGGCATCACGGCTGTCTAGCACTGGTCTGCGGGTCTGGTGCAACAAAGGCACAACGTTGAATTGCATGCGGTGCTAATCCCATTCAGCATTGTATGTACCGTGCAAAGGCAGCGTGCGTTCTACTGTCACATGTCCGAGTACCTAGTGCGTCACATGTCAGGGTACCTTTTGTGTCACTTTACACTCTCCTCCTCTACCTAGGGTACTACTGGTAGAGTCCCCGAAAGAGAGTAGGATCACAATTTTCCGGGCGGTTAGATCATTTTGTGCGAGGAGTTCATTTTCTTTGGCTCAATCACCAAAACACACCACTCATCTCAGCTGTAGTCTTACTAACTCCTTAAAGGGGGGGTCTAGAGGGGATAGTAAAGGGGACAGTTATAGGGATTATGAAGAGGGATACTAGAAGTTTAGACTATAGCTCATATGTGGGGATCATTCCCCACACCCGCAGTGGGGTTGCTAGATGTTAAGAGGTTCACGTTCTCCTCGCCTTCTGTGCAGTGCCTAACCTTCGCAACATCCCTGCAGTGCCCCCTAAACCCTAAACCCTAAAACCTAAGCCCAACCCCAGAATACCCTAAGCCCCAAGCCCTAAACTCTAAACCCCCAAACCCTAAACCCTAAACACTATCCCTGCAACTCACAGGCCCCATGTAGGCCTGATAGCGCCTTCAAAGGACCCTAAAAAAGCAATAGTCTAAGCTCCTTGAAATTCTGGGTTTATATAGGGGTAATAGAAAAGAAATGGAAGCTAGTATTTGGGGGCTGAATGGGATATATAGTTTTTTTTGGGGTGTTATATTGGGGGTTAGATAGGCCTTTATATAGGGGAGTATTATAGGGGTTATTAAGGGGATACTAGGAGTTCAGCTTGTAGCTCATGTAACCTTATAACCCCTTTCAGACGAACCCTGCGTGGGCATTCTAACATTTTAAAGTTATGTAGACCAAATAGCCCAATTAAAGGGGGACTATATAGCCAATGAAGGCAGACCTTGTTACCTCCTTGAAGGGCCCATATACAGCCCTTATAGCCCCTTTAGCGGACCTTATGTAGGTCGTCAAAGCCCTTTATACTATGGGCCTCAAAATCTATGAGCGAAACCCTATGTTGGCTTTGTAAATTTTCAATGGGTTGTTATCCCGGGACATAGGCTGAGCACGACTAATTCGAACAGGTCCATAACAAGCACTGGACAAACACTTTAGGGTGGGGACCCTCCCTCAGTAAACCCTAAACCTTAGGTGGACCCAACACCCTCTAATAGTGACTATAAGGGATAATAGGGATTATATTAGGGTCCTCTTATATTCTTATTATACCACTATTACAGGGTGGGGGGTCCTCCTAACCTAAACCCTAAACCCCAGTAAGAAGTTCGTATCAGCATGCCCATAGGACCGGGGCTCCTTTCCATCCAGATCTTGTCCAAGTGCGGGTTTTTTGTTGCCCTGAACCCCACAGCTCCAAACTTCAACCTTTTATTGGGTTTAGGGTTTGGGGTTTAGGGGAAGCAGAAGGAAAAGAACATGGAAAATAAGATGAAAACTGGGGTTACATAGGGTTTTATAGGGATTGAATAAAGTTACCATAATGGGTGTATATATATATATATGTATTACATAGTAGATAATAGGTTTCCCCAATATAGTGGCTTAAATTAAGTTCCTTAACAGCAACCCATTTTTATGGGGTGATCAGCTGAAGGGCAGTCCTGGGGATTGAAGGTCTTTGTCCGGATGGCTCAGTAATCCCTAACCCCTACTGACACCAGGTGTCCTTCCCGCAGCCACAACAAGCACCACGACTGCGGCAACTACAGCGACTACATCAACTACAGAAGCGCCTGTAACGAAGGGTGCAACCACCTCGACGACTTCCCAGGCCCAGGCATCTACGACCATGGCAGCTGTGTCGGATGCAACAACACAAAGACCCACAAAGGATACACCAGCGAGGGTTTCTCAAAATGGTCAACCACTAAATCCCTGGGAGTCCTTATCATATATCCCAACGGCCCCTATGGGCCGGGCCCCTCTTTGCAAGAGGATACAACCTCAACGTCGCTGGGACCCTACACGAAGTGGATTCTCGCGGCATTGTTCGTGGCCTTTGTGGTGCTCCTGGCCTCCTTCTTCGTGAGGACGGGATAGCGGTTTAGTGTTAAGTATTTACAGTTTAGGCTTTGGAGTTTTGAGCTTGCGCTGTCGGAATTAGAGGTAGGTGTTTTGAGCTTTTCACTTAGTCTTTTCGATACAACCTTTAGAGTTTACATCAGTAGAGATTCCAGGTTTCCGGCTCAGGGTTTATGCTGCACCCTTTGGGCGATTTAGGTATTTCGAAGCGTTTGGGCCCCCCCAACATACACCCAATACTACAGTCTTTGTTCTGTTATACGGCCCTAAACCCTAAGCGCTGTTATAGGGACTCTCGAAAGGGAGCCCTAGTTGTAGGAAAGCTTGACCGTAGACACGCCATGAAAATTCCTATACATCCCTATATGGGGGTTTCCAAAAATTGGGGGATGCTTTTAAAGGGGATACATAGGGGACACATAGGGGATATATAGGGTTTTTAGGGTTTCCCAAAATTGAGGGTACCATTTTGATGCATTTTGGGGGGGTCCCTATAATAAGGACTATAGTATTTTGGAGGTCTATATTGGGGTCCCCCTATTCTGGGCAATTACCATATAGCCTTTAATATAGCCTAGAACCCCCTTTGCAAGGCCCCAATCGCACTCCAGCCACTAGCCTAGATAAAGGCCCTTTGCTCCAGGACTTCCGAGGTAAAACCGCAACCCAACTCTACTCAGCACCAAGTACGGGCTGACATGACTTTTAGAGTTTAGGGTTTAGTGTTACGCTAAACCCCAAACCTCGACACCGCGCAACGCTTTGGCAGCCTACCCAGATCCTTCAGGCGTCAAAGATTGGTGGCAGCCCGTGATCAGGAAGAGGGCGTTGAGCTGCGAAATGCGTCTTAGTCCATAGCTCCCGTAGCTCTCTGCAATTTGATAGTTCCCCGAAAATAGGGACCTCAATATCCCAAAATATTATAATCCTCATTATAGGGAACCCCAAAAAGGGATCCCTAATTTTGGGACACCCCTTCATATAGTGGTGAGATCTGTCACTACTCTGTGCAGAAACGCACTTTGCCAATGAATGCCTGCGCGCGAAGAGAGGCTTGCAAAGGCCGACAAGCCCATGTGTACTATAGTCTAAACTCCTTAAGATTCTGGGGTTATATCGGGCACTGGAAAAGAAAGTGGCAGCTACTATTTGGGGGTGATACAGGGGGATGTATAGGGGCCATATAGGGGAGTAGTTTTGGGGTTAGTAAGGGGGATACTGGGAGTTTAGACTGTAGCTCATGTCTCTATGTATCCTACAAGGCAGCGCACGAAGCGAACACGCTTCGCTGAACCCGAAATTCTAAACCCTAGATTCCTTAAATCCTGGCATCCCAGCTCATGCGTTGGCGTGGCTTTTAGGATTTCACGGTTTCGGGTCTGGGGTAACCCTAAACCCTAAACTAGGGTTTAGGCCCTAAACCCCAAACCCTTCAGGCTAAAAGATGGAAAAGATGCAAGTCCCTGCAGATTTCCTCTTTCGCTACCTCGAATCTAGGGTTTAGGGTTTTGGGTTTAGGGTTTAAGGTTTAGGGCCCCAATCAATGTCAAATCTAAGGACACTTCAGGCGGATAGTCCCCATACCCTTTATAATCATACCAAGGCTCCCCATATAAGCCTTACATAAGTATTACATAAGCCTTAAGCCTTAAGTAAGGGTACCCGCCTGGTAACTCCCCACCTGAAACTGCCCTTAGCCAAATCCCCCAAAGGAGTCCTAAGCTAAAGGCGGTGCAGTTTGGCTAAAGCCGTTTGCATAATTCCCTGTGTCGGAAACGTAAACAGCGAACCGGAAAACCCAGGTTGAAAGCTTGCCGAGGTCCATGTAGAAGTCATATTTGTCCCGAAACCCCAAACCCTACACAAAATCCTAAACCCTAAATCCTAAACCCCCAACCCTAAACCCTAGATCTGGAGTGGTTATGGCTTCAGGTTTAAAGGTTAGGGTTTAAGGCTTAGGGTTTAGGAGCTGGGAGCTTGAGTTTTGATGTTTGGGATGATATGAAGGGACCCTGCATATAGGGTTTAGGGTTTAGGGTTTAGGGTTTAGGGATGAAGAGACCCTATATATAGGCATTATACAGGGATTATAGGGTATATATTGGGGCTATATAGGGATAATGGAAAAGAACATGGAAGCTACTATAATGGGTTATATATGGAGTATATGGGTGGTTATTAACATTATGGTCCCTTTTTGAGTACCCTAAATATTCGGTTTCCGTATTATAACAAGGATCCAGAAAGGGACCATGATTTTGACAAAAACTCATATCCAGAAACGAAACCGGAGCCCAAAACACAACAAAAAGGCTTGAAGCTGGCAGAGAATGCCTTGAAAAAGAAGTAGGTTGCACCCAAATGAACACGGTCATCAGATTTCCAAAGATCCTAGGGGTTTAGGGTTTAGGGGGTTCAAGGCTTAAGGACAAGGATTACACATGAACATGAAGCTGGCAATTCAGGGCCTAACACTTGCAATCCCCCCTATATGAGAACCTCCTACCCCTCTGATATTAAGCCATTCCCAATACAACATAATAGCCAACAGCAAATGCGTAACATCTTGTGGTAGGAGTTCTAACACTAGGTTATCCAGTAACCCCTTACGAAATAAGGGTACCCTTTTCCTCACCTCCAGCTTTAATAAGAAGACCCCAAAGTGAACATAGATAAAGGGAACTGCTGGGTACCTAGAGGGGGAGGGGTTTCAAAAATGAGTGGGTTTTGGGTACTGATAGTCAAGTCCTGGCCCTTTTCTGCTGACAGCAACCGGACCGATAGGGGTTTTGTGCAGGGTTTGGGGTTTAGGATTTAAGGTATAAGGCTTTACGGTATAAGGATTTAGGTTTTAAGATTTAGGGTTTAGGATTTAGGGTTTGGGGTTTAGAACTGAAGGTACAAGGCTACACAAGTCTTTAGCGAATAGGTTTTAGGGTTTCGGGAATATTCCCATTGTAAACACTAAGCCCTGAACCCTGGCCCTAAACCAAATCCAGTGGTATCCCTCTGGTCCCTGGGGTCTTTCTAGGCCCTAGGCCTCAAAGCCGGCAAAGCTACTGGAATTATGGTTTTGGCCTGGTTCTAAACCCTACATCCTAATCCCTGAATCCTAAACCCTGAAACCCGAATCCTAAATCCTAAATCTTATAAACCCTGTGCCCTGCCACGGTATGTTGCGAAACGCCCAGGTCACCAGGAGTTTCGACCGCGGTTCAGCCAGGTTCGCTTCTTCAGCAAGGCCCGGGGGTCCCGGAAAAAGTGTCGGTTCGGGGTTCAGGTTTCAGGGTTTAGGGTTTAGGGTTTAGGGGCTTAGGGTTTAGGGGTTTAGGGTTTGGGTTTAGGGTTTGGGATTTATTGGATATTATTGACGTAGCAAACTGCCTCATAGGGTTGAAATCAAAAATTAAAGCAAATGAAAATGAAATGCATATTGGGGGTATAAACTGGTGTAGCATGTAGGGTCTAGGGTTTCGGGTTCAGCAGGGTTTGGGGCTTGGGCTTTAGGGTCTGGGGTTTAGGGTTTCGGATGTAGAAGCCTCTCCCCCTAATGTTAAATACCCCGCCCACCTCATAATCTCAAATATCCTCAAACACGGTTCTTTGGGAATATTTAGTATATAACTAATTAGTAATGGGGCCTGATTAGTGTAGTAGACCTTCCACCAAAGAAAAATGGGGCCCGCCATAGAGAGGGGGGGGGAACACGCCAGCCGAATTTGGGTCGTAGTTTAATCTAGATTCAATAGTAGGAGCCTTGCGAATCGCAGTAGCTACTTCAAATCAAGCCCAATAGTAGGGGAGTTACGGAGCTCAGCTGTCCTCAATTAAATTCAACAGCAGGGCAGATGCAGAGCTCAGTAGATGCTATAGAACAAATTCAAGAGGAAGCGGCGCAGGTTTAAGGTTGCTGCAAGGGGTTCGGGGGTTAAGGCTTAGGGTGTTATGATTGCTGATGAACTTTTTGATTATTTCTCTGCGGTTGCCTGTCTCGTATCATTGTCATTATTGCAGCTATTGAGTTCAAGGGCAAACAGGCAATTATATGGGTGGTTGTCAAAACTATGGTCCCTTTTCGGGTCCCTATTACAGTACGGCACCTAATATTTAGGGTACCCAAAAAGGGACCATAATTCTGACAACCACCCATATGCAGAGTCCGTGGGTCGCATAGGGGCCACCATCGGAATCCATTTCTTCATTCACAGCCTGATGCTGCAGCTGACCATTATGGTTGGCCAGTACTCCTGGTTCATCCGGCAGCATAGATCGTAACCGCCTGAAATCTCACATCCTTCCGAGGAGTTCTACCATAGTCTTCCTTCTGCTAACCTCTACTTCCGGATAGAGGAAGCCCAGGGGAACGTGAGCAATACGGTGGCCTACATAATTTCCATTAGCATATTCCCATAGTCTTGGCATAGCTATGGTATAGGGAAAATCAAACAAACCTGAAATAATATTGGTTATCATTTAGGCACCTACGGTAGGTAGGAGACCAAGCGGTCAAGGTTTAGGGTGTAGGGTTTACACCACTCAAATGGGAGTGTCTCAAAATAATTCCTATATATTCCCTAATAAAGACCCCCATAATCCCTATATGATACCTATATATTTCTGGGGTCCCTAGGGTACCCCCTTTTTGAGAAACTCCCAAATGGTCCTTGCGTCGCCTGAGGTGGATGTCCCCACGCCGGAATTGGGCGGCGAGAGCATCACAGAGGGGACCATTGCAGAATGGACGGCCAAGGCCGCAACAGTTCTTGACCCAAACGGTTTAGGGCTCAGGGCAGAGATGTAGGGTTCAGGGCAGTTTAGGATTCAGGGGTTAGGGTTTCGAGCGGAGATGTAGGGCTTAGGGCAGGTTGGGCAGTTGAGGATTTAGGGTTTAGGCTCTGGTTCATTTTTAGCTTGTAGGGTCTGGGTTTGATTAACCCTAAGCCCTAAGCCCGCACGCCCATATAAGCTTGCCATTACTTAGGGTACCTTACTTTCCTTAGTTTGAAAATTTCACAAGTTCAAAAGGTTGAGCTCAATATGACCCCCCAAACCCTAATTAATGGTAATATACCCTGGGGGTGTATGCATTGGGACTCTGAGATGAAAATCCGATTTTTCTTCCTGAGCTAGTTTGCAGGCTTTAGGGGCTTTAGGGTGTTTTGAAGGTTTAGGGTAGAGGGTTTAGGGTTTTGGGGGGGCTTAAGTTAGGTCAATCCCGCCACTGGTAATTGCTCCTCAATCTGGAGTTAATTCGGTTTTGCTACGCCTGCAATGGCCCTTGTGATACCCAGTACTGACTTGCGGATTGACCCAAGGATCGAGAGGCTCCCAACCCCCAACATTAGGGTTTAGGGGTTTAGGGGTTTAGGGATTTAGGGTTTAGGGGTTAAGGGTTTAGGGTTGTGGGTTAAACTGTGAGAAGATCTCCCAAGAGGGTCGGCATTCAACTCCCAAGAGACAAGTGAGCTATAGTCGTCTAAACTCCTTGAATGGGGCTATATACTGGATTGTATAAGGAAGTACTATAGGGGTTATTAAGTGGGATACTAGGAATTTAGAGCTTAAACCCTAAACCCTATAATCGCCGTCATTAAGGGGGATATTTGGAGTTTAGATTGTCGCTCAAGTGAGCCCCAAACACCTTGCTGCCTGCCTTAAGCAGGTGGGCGAAAATGTCAAGAAAGACCAGGTGATTGCCACGATTGAGACAGACAAGGCCTAGGGTTTAGGGTTCAGGGTTTAGGGTTTGGGGTCTAAGGTTCAGGGTTTAGGGTTTAGGGCTTCTTGATTTTTGGGCTCGTTGGGTTTCAGGACTCCTTCTGATGTTGCCGGGGTAGAGGGTCCTAGCGTA